TGTGCTTGAGCTTCTGTTTAGCTTAACAAGTGATTCGTTTGAAACCAAGTCCTTACTTCAACTCGCCTTGGTTTTCTTCGACAACATTTTTTCATATGAGAAATCTCCTATACAACTAAATCTCTTCGCCAATCAAGAAATCCAGCACATTCTTGATTTGATAAGAAGTTCTTTGGTGTTGCCACTTGGAGAGCAGCAAGGCCAAGAAGAGTCATCTGAATCATGGCGGACTATTCCTTCTGCCACCAGCATCAAAGAATCTGGAATCAGTTTCAGGACAGTGAGATCACCAAGCATCCTGGATGTCAAATTCAGAAGAGGCACTCTGGAAATGCCATCAATTCTCGTCTAAGAAACCATTGAACCTGCCTTCCGAAATCTGATCAGCTACGAGCAATGTTATCCAAATTGTTCTCCCAGAATTACAAGTTATGTTATTGTAATATCCCAAAATTTTGTGATATTTTAGCATTTAAGTAAGGGTTTTTGTGAGAGAAAATATTGTTTTGGGGCTTAATAACCAAAATTTAAAAGTTCAGGGACTTAAAAGAGAAAATGAATTGGATAAGGATGGTTGATTTTTTTCTCCTTTTCCTCTTTCTTCTTCAGCGTGATTCTGCTCTTCTTCTTCCCGCTGCAACCCGAAACAAAAAAAAAAAAGGAACCAAGCTGCTGGCAACAATTTTCTTGAGTAAACCGGTAGAAAGCTTGGATATTTCTCCTTCTTTTCTTGTTCTAGGACTGAAATTAAACCCAGAAATCTTCCCCCCGCAGAAAAATCCGGGTTCTGCTCTGCTCTATTTCTTCCATCTGTTGCTCCTGCTTTGTTGGGGCGAATTGGTCTGGTTTCTGGTAAGAAACAGCCACTATTTCCTCTGTTCTTCCTTGAATTTAACTTGGGTTACTCTAAGTTCCTCTTGTTCCTTCAATTTTGAGGTAGATCCGTGAGTTTCCCCTGCAGATCCCATCGGCTTCCCCAACCCGCCAGCTCTAATTTTGCTTGCTAGAAAAATTGTGGTATGTGGCAGCTTCTCTAAGTCCAAAATTTACCCATTTAATTGCTGAAATTTAGCCATCTAATTACTGCCTATGTTGTCCGAAAATCTGCTGGAAAATGGGGAAATTTCAGTAGCTTAAGCTATGTTTTTAAGCTTGGTTTAAGTGTCAATTAGCTTGATTTGGGCTGTTGTGATTTTGGAGGAAAATCCCGAGTGTTTTAGCCCCTGTTTTTGCCAAAGCCGTGCTCTTCCCTTTTGCCGTGGGATTGGGAAACCAAATTGGTGAAATCTGGCTTTAAAACCTCTTGTTTAAGAGAATTTTTGGATATCATAATTTTACTTTAAAATAGTTGGCTTTTGGGGAGATATACAGGTAGAGAAAAAAGGGAGTTTTAAATTATTGTTGAATTTCATGTGAAGCTCATTGGTTAGTAAATTTGTGAGGTTGTGCTAATAATTCTAGTAAGGTATGAATGCATTTATTTGGAATATTAGGTGCTATTATGGCTTAGAGCACTTGGATTGAGTCTTCCCTTTTATGCGAATGAGGTAAGTAAATTATGATAACCCCCTTCAACTTTAAAAGTATATTTTAAGTTGTTTTTGAAGTGGTGGCGGGACTAAACCCGTTTTATACAAAAATGAGTATGATTGATTTGAAATAAGATTATTATTCTTTTTATTGATTTGAGCATACTTGCTTGGAGTTTATTTAACTGCCCTGGTGATCTGGAAATTATCTATAAAGTATGATTTTTTGTTAACTTTTGCCTGTTTTGTCTCCGATATGGTCATGTTATTCGTGTGCCCGCTAGTGAGAGGTTTATAAACACTAGCACATGTCGACATGTTACTGATAGAACCGGTTTGTTTCTGTTATACTGTTATCCTGCTAGTGGGATTATACACTAGTAAACCGTGTGCCTGCCAATGGGAGGTTTATAACACTAGTCATGACCTATAGAAGAGACGTCTATTTCATTCCCATATTGTATCCGTTTTTCTGATTATACTTGTTGGCATGCTATAAGTTTAATTAAGGACAATCCATATTTTACTTACTGAGTTATCTCATAGTTTTTCTTTGTCCACCATTTCAAGAAGCGAAGTCAAAGACGGGGAAAAACGAGGGGAGTGACGAGTTAGAAGGCTAGCTATCTTGTAAATTGAACATAGATTTTATATATAAATCATGATCTTGTAAGCTAGATTTTATTTGGAGATTTTATGATATCAAAGAAAATTTTATAATTTTATCTTCAGATTTTGTGGTATCAAATTGTGGCGTGACAGCTATACTCTTGGACAACCTTATCAACAATGAAGAGGACATGGAAGAACTCGGCAAGAGTGGGATTCTTATCAACTGGCTTAACCCGCATGACACCACACCGTTCTTTAAGATGCTATACCATGATACTTTTGTGAAAGAGTTTTATTACTGGAAGCTTTGCTGGGAAGTGAATGAATATCAGCAGAAATTGTGGCCTAAAGGGCGAGCTTTTTATACCCACAAGTTTTTTATAAAGCCGTGGGCCATTGTTCTCAGATTGCTGCTGCTGTCCTTCTCGACCTAGCTATCCTTCTCGTCCTAACTTTCATGCAAACCATTTATTCCATGAAGTGATGAATACTTGTTGTAATACATGTCATATCATGTTGAGACACAAACAAAAATTGTCATGAGTTAATGATATGTAATATTCATGATCTGGGGACTCTTTACTTTTGATGAATCTCTTATGAGGAATTTGATTAGAATATAAAATTTTCTCAATCTCAAAGCTAAGCATTTTGTCACACACCATGCAAGCAACATTAACTTTACTAAAGCTCACAACAATGCTGGGAAATTGCCTCAACCAATTTACTAAATCAAACATGGCCAATTATTTAAAGCTTAACTTTTTAAATTTATTATTCATTTTGAAATTAATCAGAGGAAATTAATTTCGAACTTAAGAGGAAATTAATAAATTAATCTCAAGTACTTTAAAACCCGCCCCCGTCTCCCTAGCCAATGAAGAGCTCGCCAAGTGGCATGGAAAGCAAAAAGAACATTTCCTTCTCTTGAGTTTGTTTCTTAATTTGCAAATAAAAAATCTCGCTTTTTTTCAACACTAATAGTTTGAACCTTTTAAAATTAGGTATTTTAAATTTGAATTTAAGAATAATTTACAATAACCTATCCTATTATTATTTAGATAAATAGTGACT